CGCGAGGTGGTCCGGCCCGTCTCGCCTGAGACATCCTCGCAACTCTGAGCTCTGAGATGCCGTGCGCAAGGTGGTCCGGCCCGTTTCGCACAAGACATTCTCGCAATTCTGAGCTCTCAGATGCTGCGCAAGAGGTGGTCCAGCCTGGAGGCCCAGAAAACCACATGTTACATATCCCTCCTGGGACCCTGGGAGCCCCAGGAGGCCCCAGAGAGCTTCAGGAGGCCGCAGGACGCCCAGGACAGGCCCCAGGGGTCTCCGCAGGAGATTCCCAGGAGGCTCCCAGGAGGCCCCAGGAGGCCCCCTATCAGAACGTGTCAAGTTAATACACAACTGGTGCCGATTCGTTGATTTTTCCTGCTCTTGTGGCCCCCCCGCTGGGGGGCCCCGACGGCCACAGGTTAGATATCCCCCCCTGAGAGCCCCAAAAGGCTTCAGGAAGCCCCGGGTGGGGTCCAGGAGGCCACAGGAGGCCCAGGAGGAAGCCCCAGGAGGTCACCAAGAGGTCCCAGGAGGCCCAGGAGGCCCCGCAACTCGGAGCTCTGAGACGCCGCGCTCGAGGTGGTCTGGCCCGTTTCGCCTGAGACTTCCTCGCAGCACGTTTCGCCCGAGACATCGTCGCAACTCTGGGGTCCGAAATGCCGCGCGCGAGGTGGTCCAGCCCGTTACGCTGGAGACATCCTCGCAACTCTGGGCTCCGAGATGCCGTTCGGGATGAAGAGGAGGAGGAAGAGGAGGAGGAGGCGGAGGCATGTTTTAACATGCCATGCCAGCCCGCACTGGACGGGCACGCAATCGACCTTGGAAACCGCAATGGGTCTGAAAACCCTGTTTGGGGATACTGCACTCCGGCTATAATTCAATGCGTTGGAGCATCTGGAAACTTACGTTTGTCGTGCGCAAAATTATCATATTCCTCCTCGTCCTCCTCCTGCTCCCTCCTCGTCCCTCCCTCTTCCTCCTCCCCGTCCGTCCTCCTCCTTCTCGTCCCTCCTCCTCCTCGTCCCTCCTCCTCCCTGTTCTCCTCCTCGTCTGTGAGACGCTCGAGGTCTGCCCCCCCCCCCCCCCGGGGGGTGAGTGCAGGAGACCATCGCCGACGCGCAGGAGGCCCAGACCGCGGTGGCCCAGGCGCTGACGGTGCTCAGGGAGTTCTACAAGAAGGCCTCTTCCTCCTCCCCCTCGTCCTCCTCCTTCTCCTCCTCCTCCTTTTCCTCTTCCTCATCAGCATCAGCATCAGCATCAGCATCATTATCATCATCATCATCATCATCATCATCATCATCATCATCATCATCATCATCATCATCATCATCATGATCATCATCATCATCATCATCATCATCAGCATCATCATCAGCATCATCATCATCAGCATCATCATCATCATCGTCATCATCAGCATCGTCGTCATCAGCATCATAATCCCCCTTCTCCTCCTCTCTCCTCCCCTTCCTCCTCCCTCCGCCTCCTCCTCCTCCTTCTCCTTTTCCTCCTCCTCTGTTTTGTGTCGAGCGGACATCAAGTGCTAGGCTTGCTGCGTCCTGTCAGTGTGAGAGGCCTCAAGGTAGAAATCAAGTTCCGGCTTATATCCGCGAAAACAGTCAAGTGCAGATCGAAGCGGTAGCAGAGAATGTGCCCATGAGGATGCAGAGTAATCAAGCAAGCTTCTATTGGAAGTATGGAGAGAAACACCAAACCATAATGTAGCATAACCATCATGTAGCATAACAAGGGAGGGATGTCGATAGGATACGAAATACACATGCGCAGTAACTTAGGGCCTTGGCGGATCCCAGTAGGCATCCCCACACTGGACAGCAACGCAGCACTGATCCTCCCCCCACATAGTAACCTCTCTTATCACCGCCACCCTTGGTAGTCAGGTGAAGAAGTAGGCGACGACGCTGGAGGTAAAGTTGGGCGAGCCCGTGTATTACCGCAACAGTGGATGAGGTGTTGCAAGAACCTAGGAATGCAGGTTATCTGTAAGAGGCTAGCGCATACGTAATGGCTGGCTCAAGCTGTAGCGGTACTGAGGGCTGACACGGCGAGATGAGTGGGGCAGCAGAGGCTCATACCCTGGTGTTGCGATTTTTGTCGCAGCGTGTGTCTTCCACCCCCTTCGGGCCCCGAGACCCTCACGTATCGATCTGGTTCGAAAGCGGGCGCAGAAGTCTGGGGTCCGGGGCTCTGGCCGCGATGTCTTGCGATGTTTCAATTGTTGACGCTTCGCGTTCCTCCACCAGTTCCCCTTTTTCCTGCCGTTGGGTGCCCGTCTGGCGTCCGCTGCGTCTCTCCTGTTCCCTCTTGCCTCGCCTTCCGTGTGTCTTGGCCGGAGTTTGATCCCGTCTAGGCCGCCCCGTGCTGCTACAGTACGGTCCGTGTTCCGTGCCTTTTCTTGGTGTGTGGTCCGGCTGGACTTTGGCGCCGTAAGGGCGACTGCTCCTGTCCGTCCGCCGCCGGTGCCGCGCTTGCGTCCCCATCCGGTGGGATGCATGCGACGGTCCCCCAATGAGGGTCACTTTGTCCCTGGCATGTGCACTCGCTACGGCGGCCCACGTGCCTCTGCAGCCAATTATCTCGCTCTGTGGCCCAGTCGTTCATCCCGCTCCCTGGATCTGTCCTTCGATCCGTCCAACCAAAAAGCACCTCCACCAGTTTTGGAACGCTTCTGACTCCGCCTGCGCCTTCGCTCGCGGACGCGACCAAAAAGCGTACCTCCACCAGCCCATCCAGAAACGATGCCCAGGGGAGTTGAGATGATCAGGGAAGCGGGGGAGCATTCAGGAAAACAAAGGGCGGGGGAAACTGTCATATACCCCAAGAGGGGGAGGATGGAGGAGGAATCGTCGGAGGAGGAGGAGGAGAATGAGGAGAATGATGAGGAGGAGATTGAGTAGGGCTAGGACGAGAAGGATGAGAGGGAGGAGAAGGAGTAGAAGGAGGAGAAGGAGGAGAAGGAGGAGGAGGGGAGGAGGAGGGCGAGGGGGAGGAGGGAGGAGGAGGAAGAGGTGGATGAGCAAGAGGAGGGCGGCGAACCGAAGAGCCAGAAGCTTCTTAAATGCCGTTCGGAGATCCTCTTGAGGCTTCTTGGGGGTCTCTTCGGAGCCTCTTGCAGACCTCTTGGGGCCATCTTGGAGGACATCGATCAAAAAGATAGGAGCTTTAATCAGCCTCGCCCCTCAGGAGCCCCAAAATTTGTCTTTTAGGGCGTTCTTGGGGCCGTCTTGGAGCTCTCTTGGGCCTCTCTTGGAGCCTTCTTGGGCCATGCTGGGGCCATCTCCAGGCCTCGGATGGCCATTGGAATCGGAAAGTCGAGAATGCAAAAAACATAGATTGTCCTTAGGTTTTGGACAGATGTTGGCATCTTCGGGGCTTCTTTGGAGGTCTCGAAGGCTTCCTGGAGACGTCTTGGAGCGTTCTTGGCGCCTCCTGGAGCGTCTTCGGAGCCATCTTGAGCGATCTTATGCTATCTTGATCCGTTTGGGATGTCGTCTTGGGCTCTCCGAGGCCCTCTTGGACGCCCCGACCGCTCGCGAGACGCCCCGGGGGGAGGGGCCAGGGGGAGGGGTAAAGAAGCGAAACAAGGACGTACATGTACATGAATCCACGCTGGTTTCGAGAGCGCGCCTTGCACAAATGTTCGTATAACGCGGCGGGTCTCGCGAATCGCGGGGCCGTGTTCATGTACATAGCTGGGCGCGTACGTCCTTTGTGGGCTCCCTATAAACCCCTCCCGGAAGGGGAAGAGGGAGGGGTGGCAGAGGAAACGCCTCAGACCACCTACGCCCCGAGGGCTGGCGGGATTCCTGTCGAGCCGTCGGATCTCAGGGCCCGTCGGGGCAGCAGATGCCCCCTCGCCCTCGAGGGGGGGGGAGGAGGAGGAGGAGGAGGAGGAGGAGGAGGAGGAGGAGGAGGAGGAGGAGGAGGAGGAGGAGGAGGAGGAGGAGGGGAGAGAAGGAGGAGAAGAGGAGAAAGAGGAGGAGGAGAAAGAAGAGGGGAGGAGGAGGAGGAGGAGGGAGGAGATAGGAGGGCGGAGGGAGGAGGATGGCGTAGGAGAGATGATCCTATATCTAGATGTGAGTAGGGATTTCGAGGTAGGGAGGATGATTATTAAGGAGTATGAGATTGAGAGGCTCTGCAGGATGAGCTGCGGTGATTATCTGCGTATGTCCATCCTCTGATACCCCTTATGACGAGGAGGAGCCCGGCCCCCCTCGCGTGCGGCGAAAGCAGATCGCCGCGGGATGTGCTTCGCTGTCCTCGGCCTCGTGGGGCCCTCGCCCGGCCCGGGGACCACCAGACCGCTACAGTCAACCCGCATCATAAGGATGGGCGACCTTCCCAAGGGTTATGTCGGGCGTGTCCCCCTACAGGAGGATTTTCGATGAAAAGCAAATTACTCAAAAATGCCCCAGGAAGATAAAAAAATAGTCCCCAGACTGTTTTTTGGACTATTTGTTGATTATTTTTGTGGTATTTTTTTCATTTGTCGTCGAAAATCCCCCTGCAGGGGGACAGGCCCGATTTAACCCAAGGGTACCCTCGCATCCCTGCCCCTCCGGCCCATCCGTGACCACGTTCACCGGCCACGCCCCGCTCGAAAGGCTTCGAAATGGGCGTCCGAGGCCCTTGCATCCCGATCGCGCAACACGACTATACGGGCCGGCTGTACTCCGGATGATGGGCCAGTCCCGCGGAATGGTTCGATGCTCGGGAGCCTTGAGACGGTGGTCAATGCAAACGGGGTTCAGCCAGAACGCCAGATCTTGCAGGATCCTGCAGACCCAGAGGTGCACTGACCCGTACTTGCGCGCAGGATCTTGCAGGATCTTGCAGGATCCTGCAAAGCCTGACTGACCCGAGTTTGCATTGACCCCGGTCAGTGCGTACCCGAGAGAGTTCGGCGACGTTGTGAACATACTATGAGGTCGGGGGTTAGGGGGAGAGGGGAAGGAGGATACAGCCCTGTCGAGCTGGATGGGGCACATGGGCTCCCCCATCCTCGAAGGGGTGTTCGTGAAGGTTGGGAGGACAAGCCTTCTGGTCCCAGAACGTGTCGTCCGCATACCCTGCAACAGTCACCCCTATCTTAACAAAGACTACGCAGGGCAGCACTCCATCAATGTAATTGTGCGCGCTGTTATTGCGAGACCTGCACATTCAAAAAGAACCGCCCTGTACCAATTTAGCTGCTGGCAACGTTTCAGACGAATGTGTGCGGTGCCATGGCGAGAGTTAATCACATCTTGAATGGGGTACGCCCTCCGTCCGTATCGCTGCTTGGAAGTGTATGGTTCAGCACCATCAGCGGTCATGCTTGCCCCTGCCTGCCTTACCGACACGTCGGGCCGCGCGATACGCAGTGATTGATCAGGAAGAGGGGTGGAGGAGGGCGAGGGCGAGGAAGATAATGGATGGAGCTGTTTTCTCCTTTCGGGTTGTTTTGTGTGCCGGAATCACTCGGCCAGAGGAGGGCAAGGTAACACAACGGCGGCTCTCCAGCCCGACCAGAATCCGCAAGGTCAGTCCCCTACGCGAGCAGCTTACGCGCCACTGTCGGCGAAGACAGGAGGAGGAGAAGGAGGAGGAGGAGGAGGAGAACAGAGGAGAGAGGAGAGAGGAGGAAGGAGGAGGAGGAAGGAGGAGGAGGAGGAGGAGGAGGAGGAGGAGGAGGAGGAGGAGGGGGAGAGAGGAGAGCCAGAGGAGATGAAGAAGGAGAGGGAGTCTGAGGAGGAGAGAGCAGAGAGGAGTATAGGGCGAGAGAGAGAGGAGGAATGGGAGGAGGAGGAGGTTTTTTTTTGCCGCTGCTCTAACTCTACTCTGCCGCGAGTGGTCGCGGTCCTCCTGGCGGCCAGCCAGGCAGCCGACGAGCACGGCACTTAAGACGCTGCCAGCGCATGATTGTTCCATGCACGCTGGCCGACCCGCAATAGCAGGCCACGCGACAGGGCCTTGCCCCCGTGGCGACTGCCAGGAGGCCCACCCGTCGGGCGTCAATCAAATAACCGCACCACAATGAGAGCATCCACGTCGAGCCAAATAAAGTCGCTCTTCGGGTGCTTGCCAGACAGGAGACGGTTCCAATATGAGGCCGCCGAGCGGGGGCAGTGCGGCTTACCATTACAAACTTTGTTGAGATAGCGCACGTAGCCCCCAGT